CCTACCTTGTAGCAGATTATCTGCCTCCCTCCCCACGGTGATCAAGGAGGCCGAAGAATTTGCCGAGTGCCGAGGTAGTTAACTCACAAGACGGGACGCCTCCTGGGAGGGTCGATGCATCAGCAAATGAAGAGTTGTCCTTAATTCCTTTATTTTTTGTTAGTTTTTTTCGATTCTGACCAGCACGATTACCTTTGTCTCCCACTCCGCTCCGCTCGTTGCTCGTTGCCATCCGTTGAACCGCCGCTGCCTTTGTGTGTGCAGCAGGCGCAGGGTCCTCCTCCTCCTCTTTGCCATCGTTGTCCGAGCCCTCTCCGATGGAGGAGAGCAGCACAACACCACCAGACGCAGCAGCACCAGCAGAAGGAGGGGACGGGTCCGGAGTAGGCACGGGGGGATCAAGCGGCGCCAGCAGCAGCAGCAGCACCGCCGCTGCCGTCGCCGCCCCACCCCTCACACCACCACCGGCCGTCGCCGTCGCCGCGGCGGCTGAAACCCCGACCGTGGAGATGACGCCGGTGCTCCCACCGCAACCCCCGTCTGCCGCCACGCCCATGGCCGTCGCGGCGCCTGCGCCGAGCCCCCTGTCGTTCGGCGTGGGCGGGACCGCGCCGGCTATCGGCGGGGGAGCGGCGGCGGAAGGCGCCGCGGGGGCGGCGGTGGCGACGGCGGCGGCGATGGAGGCGGCGGCGGAGCCGGCCGCGCGTCCCGTGCAGAAGAACCGGAAACGGTGCTTCACCTGCCACAAGAAGGTGCGTCCTTGTTGTTACTCTACCTTGTTTCGGCTCGAGTTATATCCTGCTGCACGCTCTAGTACCTTCGTTTTTGGGTTTCTGCATCCCTGCGCTTGCCCCCTCTGGTTGTGTGACTATGGAGCAGCCTTACGGTGTCGGGGAAGAGTCCGTTGCTCGAGTTGAAACAAGCGACGTTGCACCCGTTGTCGGGGTATTTTGTATGGTACCTCACACGGATCCGCCGTGAAAAGCTGGCTCATAGATGCCCCTTTTTGATGGTTTAGGAGTGGTGGTCGGGTGTTTCTTTCATGACACGCATGTACCGATAGACCGCGATAAATCCTGAAAGTTTCGCCGTGTTCTCGAAGTAAACTACAACCAGAGAATGGTGATGGGAAGGGAACCGTAAAAATCACTTTTGGGGTTTGCATGGGGTCTTGCAGTTGGCGTCCAAGTCAACCCGTACTGGCCTGTCTAATAAGTAGTAGACACTGGGACAGACTTGAATGTCAAAATCACGAAGTCGCCAAAGCACGGTAAAGTTGCGCTTGGTTGAGCAGGCGAAGTGCGAATTTTGTAAATTGTGTGTAGTGTGGGACAATTACAATATTCAGTCCCTGACTTCTGTCTCGAAGCTAGCGAGCACTTGGGGAGCGCGCAAGTAGATAGACGTCTCGTGGCGCTTTAACGAGAGACCTCCGCACTCGCGTGTCTTGTCTTGTCTTGTCTTGTCCTGTTTTGTCCAACGTAAACTGGGGAGACGATGTTGGTTGGTTCTTATTTTTGTGCTTTTGCCCGCGCTGTGACTTGAACCCAAGCATAACGACCGGCGCGCGCTGGGGGGTAGGGGGGTTTTACGCTTGCACAGCTTGTACTGCTGTTTACCCACATGCCACGCACCTTCCCCACACACGCACCTCGTGTTCGATGCGTGCTATCTTCCCGGGCCCTCACGCTAACGCGTCATCTCGCCGTCTTGCCCTGTCTTGATGGTCTCGACGACTGCTGGTTTAGGTGGGTTACACGGGCATCGCCTGCCGTTGCGACTACGTGTTCTGCTCCCTCCACCGCTACCCGGATCAGCACGACTGCACGTTCGACTTCAAGACCTCGGACAGAAATGACCTCAAGAGGACAGTCGTGGGCGGGGGGCAGTTCAGCAAGGTCGAACGCCTCTGACGCGGCGGGTCTTTCTGACGATCGCTGTCGAATGACTGGCTGGCTTGGCCCTGCCCGCGCTTTGGTCGCTTTTGTCTCTCTCCTCCTCGGTGATTTCCGTTTTATCCTCGTGAGGCTGTGCAGTGGGAAACTAGAGGGCGGTTGCGAACGAGGGCGCTCGGAAATGACCACGAGGGAGAAAGTTGGTGACGTTGTGCATTCACCGTTCGCGAACCGGGGAGGGGGGGGGGGGGGGGGG